GAAGAAGAAGAAGAAGAAGAAGAAGAAGAAGAAGAAGAAGAAGAAGAAGAAGATGATTGGGTGTGTAGTGGCGAAGAAGAAGAAGAAAAAGAAGAAGAAGGTGTAGCGGTGTGGTGAGAACGTTGCGTAAAGGACCCAGCTTTGGGTTGTGGTCGCCGGCGTCAATTCATCACCCACTGACGTCTCCCGTCTCGGCCATCGAGACCGTCATCGTTGTTGGTGGGAACCCCCCGAGGGTGTTCATGACGCGATGCTGTGTTTCCGTTATGACTAACACACCTCACACTCACATAATATTATTTGCACAATATATTACACACACACACACACACACACACACACACACACACACACACACACACACTTGTCGCCTATGTCATGTCTCAAACCTTGTAACTTATTTTATGCTTTGTCTCTCAATAAATAATTGTAGGCCTTATACTAAATTCCCTTCTTCTTTTTGTGTGTTCTTGCAGGTTGCAGAAAAGCGTACACGAAAAGCTCCCACTTGAAGGCTCACCAGAGAATCCACACGGGAGAGAAACCCTACAAGTGCCATTTCCAGACCTGCCAGTGGCGATTCGCTCGTTCGGACGAGCTGACGAGACACATCCGTAAACACACAGGGGCCAAGCCGTTCCGTTGTCAAGTGTGCGACAGAAGCTTCGCCAGGTCGGATCATCTGGCCCTGCACATGAAACGTCACGAGCCCAAAAGTAAATGAACACGCAGCCCGTAGACGATGGAAGTTGATCTTGATGACCCGTGCGACGTTTCTGCCCGCTCATCACATGTACTCGCGACGCACGATGATATCGTTAGTGGGGGAGACTGTCGCCAGACGGCTGCCAGACGGACGCCAGACTGAAGTCAGACTGGCACGCAAGCTGAATTTGTCTGCACGCGCCTTTGGTGACAAGAGTCTAGTCGCAGTATTTTTTGTCGTGACGCTGAGACCAGCCTGCTCTTACATTGACATTGTGCCCGGACCTGAAGCCAGCCCCCACCCCCACCCCCTCTTTACCCCCCTTCCCTGAACTGATGTGACTGCAATGCTCAATGTGTGTATAGGTGGTGGTGGTGACAGTTGAACCCTACCTTAACAGCTTTTTATAAACTTTTGAGTTCTGAGCTGAGCTGTATTGGTGAAGGTTTCCTGAACTTGTTACCTCGAGACCAACTGGGACCGACCGACCGACCAACCGACCGACAAAGACTCGCTCGCTCTCCTCTCAGCGTTCTGCTAGCTGCACAAAGTGTTTGAGTTTGAGTCTGCGAATGTATGTGCTATTTTTTTTTTTTTTTGCCACAAGCCAATAGTTCCCGTCTGTTTCAGAAGGTAGATGAAGAAGAAAATAGGGTCTAGATCTAGTGTGTCTCAGTCTGAAAAAGTTTTTCCAGTCAGATGTTTATGACATTTTTATTGCAATGAATTTGGTGTTTGGAATACAGTAAAGTAAAGAAGAAAGTGTGGAGAAAGGGGTGGGGGAGGGAGGGGAAATTGGTAATTAACATATCTATAGTGAAAGGAAAGACGGATGAGGCTTTGATCTCAAACTAATACGTGGTATGTGAGGTAGATAGATTTATGACTTTTTTCATCGTATAATGGAAACGTATGTTATATAGCAACATAGTGTGAGATATCAGTTTAATGTGAAGTGCTAGGAGAGAGAGAGAGAGAGAGAGAGAGAGAGAGAGAGAGAGAGAGAGAGAGAGAGAGAGAGAGAGAGAGAGAGAGAGAGAGAGAGAGAGATGTCATTGAAAACATTTATGGGTGACCTGCTAGTCCTATTCAAATATTTTAAGACGATATTCACCATGCATTGCGCAAAAATGCTCATACTTATACTAGTAGCTTTAATTATAGACCCAGAAATGTTCACGATTTTTCTGCATTCTTTGTTTAAGTGTTCAATCAAAGACACCTCTGCTAAAGCATCTGGACTTAACAGTTTTATTCTCCAAGTTCAATATTCGTCTCCTCCCCTCCCACTTCTCTACCCATCTAGGCTATTATTTTTTAATTTTTGTCGTAAAAAATTTATATAGGCCTATATTATATTTTGGCGGTACAAATCATCACTTCTGATACTGTTTTGTAGGTTTTCCTCTTACCTGCAACTATATTGAACTGTTCTGCTTCTTTTAATTCTTCGATCAAACCCCCCCCCTCCCAAACCAACTCTGAAGTTGCTTCTATTTATAGTTTTATAGTTTTATTAGATCTGTTGTTGTTTCGCAGGGTATTGTTTTTAACTTATCCTACCTTCCTCAAACAAAAGAAGTGCGATGGATACTTGCATTACTGATTGTTGTGCGGTGATAAACATGGTTTACTGATCATGCTGTGATGAAAATGTAAAGTTGATGTTGATGATTATCGTGTGTTTTGTGTGTGTATGCATGTGTGTGTGTGTGTGTGTGTGTGTGTGTGTGTGTGTGTGTGTGTGTGTGTGTTTACGAGCGCACTCACGTAAGACGAAGGTATAGCCAAATCATGTCAGATGTTTCCAACTTTGTAGAAAAGGATCAAATGAGAATGTGTCTGGAAGAATCCATTCATATTAATCAGAAGTCTCATTTCTACCCCCTGCCCATTCGCGTCACACTAAAGGCGTTCGACTAAACTGTAAGCAATAGTTGAAATTTAAATTTTAATAACAATGTTGTTTGTTTCCTGCGCTGCTGAACACTTTTTCTCCCCTTGACATTAATTGTATTTTTGAATAAGGACCGGTGCAATACTTTCAAGAAGGAAAGCATTACTTCGTTGACATATTCTTTGTTTAGTTTTCAAAAGCCCCGGAGAGAGAGAGAGAGAGAGAGAGAGAGAGAGAGAGAGAGAGAGAGAGAGAGAGAC